CCCGCCCGCTTGCGCGGCCGCGGCAGCCGCCGCTCCGCGTGTTCCTCCGCAGGCTGGTGGGCGGCGGCGGCGGCAGGGGAACCCGCTGGGGGTGGGGCGGGAGGGCGCTGCAGGGTGCGTGCGTCTTGCTCTGTCCTTCCTCGGGTCTCTGGTTGCACGTGTGCTGGGCTGCCCAGTGAGTGGTTGCTTTGGGGGGAGGGAAGGCTTAAGCGCCTGGGCGCTGAGTCTGGGGTGCAGCCTCGGGGCGGGCAGCCTGTGCGCTCAGCTGTGAAGCGAGGGTGGGAGCTGGAGACTGGCTCTGAGTACCTGGGAGGGAGGGGTGGCCGCTTTAGAGGAGGCTTTGAATTATATTGCGCCCAAATTTCCAGGTGCAGTCCAGCGTTTGACTGCGCAGATTGCCCCCCTTTCCCTGGTGGGAAGGGGTTCACACAGTCGCGGGGATTTACCCTGTTTTCCTAAGCCCACGCTGCTTGGAGAGGGCCAGTGAGGAGAGTGAGCCTTGCAATCCTTTCCCTAAGTTAGCAGTGTCCTGCTAATAGGATCTGCTTACAAGGGAATTAAAAAAAACGGTGAGACTATCCACATCTAATGTGTTCAGGTGAACACCTGCTACTGGTGTTCTTCAGGCTCTCTCCATTTCTAAAGAGGCTGTGAACTGAACTCTTGTTCCAGTGACCCAGGCAACCCTTGTGGTAATTGGGGTTGTACAGCTGTAACTGACTGTAATTTTTAAAAACCAGGGGAGAGTTTCTGCTTGGCTCTCAGTCTTAGGTGTGGTCTATTTTAGAACATTAGGTTGGTTTAACAACACTGCTCAGGAATGTGTTTTCATACCCCTGACTAAAGGGCCCATATGGTGATAGGTCTTCCATTCACCTAGTTGCCAGCTGGCTTGTGGAGGTGGATTACCTAATACAGCAGGAGAGCCCACTTATCTTTTTAAGTGTAGACAAGCCCTTCTCAGTGGGTGGATCTGCAGGGCCAGTTGAAGGGCAGCTAAAACTTAAGTCACTACTATCAATAGAGGTTTTTTCAGGAAGAAAATGTCTGGAAAGAATAAGTATGCTTTTTCACAATAGAACTGAACTTTTAAGAGCTTAAATCTGGGGTACGGTGGGGGCTACTAACCCACAGAAATCAGTTGGGGGCTGCACACAAGTGAGAAGCAAAAAAAAAAAAAAAAAAAACCTACATTGATATAATCCTAACGGAATTGGGGAGAGACCCTTCTCACATTCCTCTCTCACACCAGAGCCTAGAGAGGAGCCCAGCCTAGTAGATTTTGTGTGCTCCAGCCCCGTGGTTGGGCAGCAATAGGGGCTGGAGCACTTTCAGGCTCCCTAATGTGTGTGTGTGGGGGGGGAGGGGCAGAGGGTTGAGCATCAGGGGTGGGATCCAAGCAAACTAGGGCCTGCATCTGGCCACCAGGCCTGAGGTTCCCCAATCCTAGCTTAAATGTATGGAGTCTTTATAGGAATCAAGTCCTTCATGTGTCAAAACCGAACCTCACTTTCTGTTATGGATCACTTAAAGTTTGTAGTTTTGTGTGGGTGGGGATGTTTTTTGGGGTAGTGCATATTAATGTAATGAGGTATCCATGATGGCAACAAGAGAAAATTAGGGATTGTGTATATTGGTTTAAACGCACAAAAATATCCCACTTGAACGGAGATCCATTAGTCAGTTGTGTACTTTTCATATGTCTGTGCATAATACATGCAAAACTCTACATGCAGAATGTCCACATGAAAATATACCTATTTGTGCCCCTTCATAGGTACCTGCAGGAGTCTGTTACATAAATCCAGCAATATTGCTGTTGTGGCTGGAACAAAAAATGTCTAGCTATGGAAATCAAGAATTTTGACACATCCATTTGTGTCCTTGTCTAGATTAAGATTTACAGTATAGTATCAGCACTCTCAAATCTAGAGACTGATTGTGTGAACTAAACTAAGCTGCACCATTGGTTTTAATACCCCACGTAAGGTTATTTTATTAATCACGACCCTTTGAAAGTCTTAAAAAACCACAAATAGTCTAGCAGCACCTAAAAGACTAACAAAACATGTAGATGGTATTATGAGTTTTCGTGGGTACAACCCACTTCAGATGAATGGAGCATTAAAAGTCCAGATCCAACAATAAATAAAGCAAGGAGGGGAAGGGGGAAAGTCTGTTCAGTGTGCTTTGTTTTAGGTGGTAGGGTGTAGGTTTTTTGTGGGTTTTTTTGTGTAAACATTTAGCTCTGAGCTATGAACTTGAAATTGAGTTTTTAAAGAATGAGAGGGTCTGAGATGTATTTGTGGGTGTATGAGGGATGTCTCTCAATGCTAAAGTTAATAAACTTGTGAATATGTTTCCAAGATCACAACAAAAGAATGGAAAACATTAAAGCCTCAATTCTGCAATGAGCTCCATGCAACCAGATCACCCCCTGAAGCATTGTTATTTTATCAGCTACAATTGGTTAATAACGTAGTAAAAGCATACTGATTGGTTAATTAAAGGAGTGTTTGCTAAGTTTTCCGAAAAAACTTTAATTGCGTCCACACTGCAATCTCTTCCTTCTGAAAGAAAATAAAAAAAACAGAGGAGTTTTTCCCACTCTGGTAATCCACATTCTATGAGGAAGAAGTCTTTTCCCAAAAAAGCTCTTTCAGAAAAAGGCGTGTGTGAATGGGGAAGAGGGAGCTCTTTCAAAAGAAGAGGAAAAAGCACAGGTGGCCACTCCTTCCATAGTAATCATAGCTGAAATGCAAGATAGTGATCATACTGAATGGTCACTATCTTTCGAAAGCAGATTACTTTTTTGATGCGCTTTTGCAGTGTGGACACTCTCTTTTGGAAGTTTTTCTGGAAGATCTCTTCTGGAAAAGCTTCTTCCAAAAGAAGCCCGCAGTCTAGAGATAGCCTTTTAGACTTAACTTCTAAATATTTGCCTTCTTGACAAACTTAGAGAAAGAGCAAGAATGGCGGAGACACCTATGTGGGAGCAAGTTGGAACAAGTTTTGTGCAGCTCTATTACCAGCGTTTTGATACCAGCAGGGTAGAGCTAAGTGCTCTCTATGTAAGTATCGGTTTTATCGTGATGCTTCAAATTTTTAACTTTCTCACTGATCATTTTGAATGATGACTTTAAAGACCTGATGTATTCTGCGCTTCCGCTGTAAAGACAGTAGTTTTTATGAAGAAATGTTTCTAGATAGACTGAAAACAATTACATATCCTCCACCAGACTGAAAACAATTGGGCTGTGTCCAGACTCAGGGGGTTTTTCAAAAAAAGTAGCCTTTTTTCGAAAAAACTTCACCAGCGTCTAGACTGCAGCCGCGTTCTTTCGAAATTAAATCGAAAGAACGCGGCTTTTCTTTCGACAGTGGTAAACCTCATTTCACGAGGAAGAACGTCTACTTTCGAAAGTGCTCTTTCGAAAGAAGGCGTTCTTGAATGTAAATAGGGCTTCTTCGAAAGAGAGCATCCAGACTCACTGGGTGCTTTCTTTCGAAAAAGCGGCTTGCTTTTTCGAAAGTTCCGCATGCAGTCTAGACGCTGTCTTTCGAAAGAGCCTCTTTCGAAAGAGGCTTGCAGTCTAGACATAGCCTTACATATCCTCCACCAGTCCTAATTCTTTAAACTGCTTTACCTTATAAATTATTATTCCTGTTCAATAGTCTCCTCTTTTGACAATAATTGTCAAATTTTTAAAAAATTTTCTGAGTTGCAAAAATCTCATGGGTGGGAGGTGGTGGTAGAAAACTTGAACTATGAGATACTTCTTCACCATGATAGATGTCATCAAAAGCTAACAGGAGAAATGGTGTGTAATGCTTTCTTTATCTTCTCAAGTACTTGATTCCTCCATTCTTTCACCTGATCTTATAGGCCCACTAAAGACCTCTATGGGGAAACAGGACTAGTGATGGTCCCTGAGATCTCCCTGACACATCTTAGGAAGGCAGCAGCAATCTGGTATCAAAAAAGCTTGAGAAACACTGCTTTAGGATATATCCTCAGACCCTTCAGTCTTACCTAATTTCTGTAATATTGATATGAATAATTTTGTTCTCTTTTTCAGACAGATGCTTCTTGCTTATCATGGGAAGGACAGCAATTTCAAGGAAAAACAGCTATCATGGAAAAGTTGATGGTACTGTATATACTAAAAGTTATTTAAAAATAATAAAATTTGCTGAACTGCTTTCCTATCTCTTGATTTTAAAACAGTTAAATACCACATCGTTCTCATAATTTAAAGTGGAAGGAGAACACCAGTGACCTGTGTTGCATAACTTTTTGGAGTTTAAAAAATAATCTGATTGCTGCAACGAAAGTGCTGTTAAAATTGCATCATGAGTTTCCATGTTTGTTCAATAACATCTGCTTAATTTACAAGTCAGATACATTTTAAGAGTGCTACCACCTCAAAGTCAAGTTGAGTTCTTTCCTCTTCAGCACACATGAGAGCTTCTGCAGGCTGAGTTCAGCCCTCCCTTATACCTATTAAACCTTGTAACTATAACTCAGAGCTGAATTTGGTCCTGTAGTTGAAACTTAATGAACAGCTCTGTTGATGAGTGGAGCAGTATAAAATCCAACTCCCTTAGCTTTGTCTGCTCTGCTAATAGGAATTAAACACAGTTAAACTGATCAGTAACTTTTTAGTTTTAGAGTATGTGGTACAAAAGTGTTAAACTGCAGCATATTTAAACACCCACTTAAGACTATATTAATATCTAATGCTATTTTTGCTAGCTTTTTAACCCTCCCCCCTCCCCCAAAAAAGAGATCTGCTGTTGACCTTATGAAAATAGTTTATCTTAAGGTTGGGGAAAGATAGCATTTAGAAAATGCTATCCTTCCAAGATCTTTGAGCAGGGTTTTTGTACAGTGCAGGGAGGAATTTCTATTCTCTCACTTCAGACATAATACTTTCTTGTAAAACACAGTATTATAGCTCACTGTACTAAATGTTAACTTCCCCCATTAGATTTGCTTTGATTTTTCACCGTTAAGATCTGACATTCACGTGGCCAAACACTCATACAGTACAGCTAGAATACAAAAATGCTAAGTTGCATGGATCATGGACCATGCAGAGTACCAAGTACACTGCTGGAGTAGAACTATTAAGTGAAATACTTGCACAAATATGCTTAGCTTATGTGAGATTTTTTTTTTTTATCCCTCCTAAACAGAGTCTTCCATTCCAAAAAATTCAACACAGCATAACATCTCAAGATCATCAGCCAACGCCTGATAACTGTATACTTAGTATGGTGGTTGGTCAGCTGAAGGTGAGGCTGACAAACTGTAATGCTTTGATTGGTGTGTAAGGAGAAGCTTGTTGGTCTTAGAAATATTCCATTTAGAAATACAGTGTTCTGTTATTGTAATTACATCAGTTTTTTAATTAGAATTCCTGTTTGAGCCTGAAGTAATACCACTGATCCTGTATCTTAATAGATTTTGTATCTTGAATAGATTTAAATATCTACCGCCTATCTTTTCAATTGATACGTGTAATGCTATAGACTTAAGTAGTTTTTGAGGGGATTTGGCTTGGACACATGGGCTATATTTCCTACTTCTAACTATTTTTTTTTTTTATTTGTTTAGGTGGACAATGACCCAGTGATGGGGTTCCACCAGCTGTTTATTCTCAAGAACATCAGTGACAATTGGGTTTGCACCAATGACATATTCAGACTAGCCCTGTATAACTTTGCTTGAATTTTTTTTGTCTGTTTCTATTGCCACACTCAAATCTGACACAAAAATAAATTGTTCTAAATTTGTTCTGTAGTGGTTTATGCAGTCTGATTGAAAGACCATGCACTTCATAGCTGATGCTTCTCTTCCCTTGTCCTAACTATATCTTGGTGTAATATTAACTTATAAATTGTAGATAGAAATGTGAATTGTTTTTTACATTATGAATATGATAGTCCTGAAGCTACACTTTACTATATATAAACTATGGCTTTCTAAAGTGTTGGGAGCATCAGCCTCTATAAAATGGGGAAGGGAATGGTAATGGGATACACTACACAAATGAATTGATCAGGAAGGTAGGCACAAAGTCTTAACCAACATTTTAATATGTCTGCTTAAACACTAGGGCGTAGGTCCAGATCTGGTACTTCGGTCCCAGGTTTTAAGCACCATTGTGATTCTCTCTCATGCACGCAAGCCACTCAGGAGCTACCCAACCACATAGTCATCAGCATTCACTCAGCATTTAAATGTGCTGTAAATGCTCTCTAACTGCCTCTGGGCATGCACAGTGCTGCCTCACTTACTTATTCAGGCAGCCAAGTTCCATTAACCAGGAAAGATAGATGAAGGAGCACATGTAAGAGGGGAATGGTCCTGCCATTGGGAAAACTTTCCTGGCTTCTATACTACCCTGGTGAAATGGGTTAGCGAAGGATCTGACTGAGTCCCTGTTCCCTCTGCCTTTACCCAGAGGCCTTCCTGACTTTGAGGGCCCCCTTCCATTCTCCTGCATAGCAGTCCTAACTCCCATCAAGGCTGAGCCCAGGATTCCTGGGAGGGGGTCTTGACCCTCAACCATACTGTGGTCAGTTAGCTCTACCTAATGTGTCCCCACTCCAGGGTGCCTTCTCCACAGGGATGCTTCTCTAACCCACTGAAGTGTTACATACAGTTTATAAAAAAAAAAAAAAAAAAAAGAAATAGTGGGAAAGGTTAGTGGAAAACACACATCTTTGCTTTGTGGCATGAGGACACAAAGCCGGAAAAAAAGCGGCGGACATGTTTATTTAAATCCGCGGGGGATATTTAAATCCCCCGCGGATTTCCCTATTCTGACTTACCTGCTTTGCATGACTTTTCTGGAATTTGGGGCCAGTGTAGACATAGCCTCCATGTCTTAGGATCATACATCTTTGAATTAATTCTGATTGGAAGTGTAACAATGGATTACTGAAAAATAAATATAAATAACCTGCTAATTGCAGCTATACATTTTGGGCATGTATACTGCAGTTACTTCTAGCAATCCGAAATGCCAAATCACAGCAGAATATAAGCTACCAGTCCTTCATTTAGGAAGGTTTTGAGGTCAAAAGCCAAACTCAGGAGAGCAGTGCTGCAATCATTGTGCAACATGCAGCTGAAACTTCTCATTTTCACCACTCTGAGGGGATACAGCCTGCCAGGCACCTACAGTGGGATCCACACTGACATGTACTCAAAAAAGAAAGATCTGTTACTTATCCTAGAATAACTGTGGTTCTTTGAGATGTTATCATCTGTGTTCCATGACCAGCATTATATCTCTGTTAAGTTTTGTCACTGACAAGAAACAGACAAGGTGGGTGAGGTAAATATCCTGGGATTGAGATGGTTACCCCTTCAGTGACTATAAGACAGTTTCCAATAGAGAAGAAAAGTACAGGCAGTGCCCGGGTTAAGTCAATCCGACTTATGTCGGATCCCTAGTTACGAACGGGGGGGGCGCAGCTAGTGCGGGGTGCCTCCCCCACTGTCGCCGCCTCCGGCGGCGCAGGGGGCGCTTCCCCCCACCAGACCAGGGAGACACGGAGCTAGTGCTCCTCCCCAGCAGACCAGGCTTTTCTCGCCGCGGAGGACACGGGCGGCAGGACCGCAGCGCATCTCGGCGGTCCCGCTGCCCACGTCCTCCGCGGCGAGTCCCCAGCAGCTTGTCAAGTGGACTGCTTAAAGGTTCGGGGGCAGCCCACCATGCAGAATGTCCCAGAGGCATGGTTCAATGCTTTTTATGGAGAGTTTTGAAATTGTGGAGTTTTGTTCTGAATAGGAACAAAATGTTTGAGAGCCCCTGTTGTTTAACCTTACTAAATAAATAAATACAATCAAAAGCAAATAATCAAAAGGTTGAAAGGTTGGCTAACAAATCTGAAACCTCCTCCAGTAAAATTGCTTTTTAGCAGAAAGCTGGTTCATCCACTTTTTCAAGTAATTCCTGTACGAGAGAGCACATACTTAGAAAAAATATAAATGAATAAAATAACCGCGTTTTCCTTGTGCTTTTACCTCAGTACCTAATATGCTGTCAAAATCACAGAATCCATCCATAAGTATCTCTGTATGAAAACATGCAAGAGAAATGGACTTTCATTTTTGCATTAAAGTAATGTACATAGTTAATAGGATCCTATATAAATTACTTTGCATCATCTCTTTACATTTGATGGATCCCTTTAAAAAAAACAGGAAAGAAAGGAAAAAGAAAACTACTGGCAATTTGACACCTCTTTATACTTGGAGTTTGAAGGCGACAGTGGGGGAGGCACCCCGCACTAGCTGCTTCCCCCCAACAGACCAGAGAGATGCGAAGCTAGCGCCCGCCCCCTCTCCCCAGCAGACCAGAGAGGCGCGGAGCGGCTTTTCTCAGCAAACACCTCAGCTTGAGAATAAAGGACTGAGGGAAGTGAGGTGTGGGAGAATAAAACTGAGCTCTGGAGAAATGTTTGGCTAGAGTTTCCCCTACAATATGTACCAGTTCCGACTTACATACAAATTCAACTTAAGAACAAACCTACAGTCCCTATCTTGTACGTAACCCGGGGACTGCCTGTAATCTTTTACCTCTTTTATCCAATGAGTAGTTCTGTGGGCCTTAGAGGCTAACAAAAATATGGAGTATCATGAGCTTTTGTGGGCAAAACCCACTTCTTCAGCTCATCTGAAATGAGTTTTGACCTTGAAAACTCATGATACTATTTTTATATTTTTGTTGGTCTCTAAGAGTACATCTACAAAGCAGTGTTATTTCAAAATAACAAAATGCATGTCTACACAGCAAGCCATTATTTCAAAATACTGTCGAGATGGAGGACTTTCTGGTGTGTTGTAAGCAAGACACGAGAAGTCATTCTTCCACTCTACTCTGCGCTAGTTAGGCCTCAACTGGAGTATTGTGTTCAGTTTTGTGGTCTTAGCTGTTCACATCAGTTTACATTTGTGATTGCACATTTCTACTATTAATTAATAGTTTTGTCCCTTCCACTTGAAGGTCTTATGTTATTCGTTTAAAGACTGTTGAGTTGCAAGATAAAAATAAATGTTACTGTTTTTGAGTCTATGACCACCTTGCCTAAATTAAAATATTCCTACAGATTATGTATGGTGGCAGCCATATACCCACTGTCATAAAGAGAGATATGCTCTGATTTATGAATTCTCCAAGAGTCAGAAACAATGATATTGACCATTTCGGGGGTAGCTCAGAGACCTCAGAACTAGATTTTACTGCTCGGTGGTTACCTCCTGAGTTTTGCCTACAAATTATAGGGATCATTTCTGACTTTTCAAGAAAATTTTGTATCTTTCTCCCTAACCTTTCTAATCCTCCTTCAGCAATTTTTATAA